GAAACGCCATCGGCTGGTCGACCTCTGCGATTGCAACTCATTAGCTTTCGTACTGTGGATTGATAGCTCGGCGGGGATACGCCCACCGAAGGAAGGTGACAACTCCCGCAGGTGAAAGTAAGTTGTACCTCGCGTAGGCCCTATCCTGTCGTAAGGGCTCGCAAGAGGTATGGTTGACCCACTCGACCGGAGCGGCTTGCGGAAGCTCCATGTGTATCGCGATTACGACCAACTCCTACGTGACGCGGCCAGGAGGATCCCGCACTGTGTGGGATCGATGTGATCGACAATGTGAGGGTCCGGAGGGGCAGCGAGAAGAATAATGTGCACACACAGAATAGAAGTAACGCTCATGTATGTGTGTGTGTGAGAGTGAGAGAAAGTGAGGAGAAACGCGTATCGGTCTATGAGGCAATCTGCATGGGCGGCTTTATCACGTGTATTGATTTTCAGTGTGAAGTGACTCTTGTTGCATATCGTGAGGTAGGAGAGAGGAGGTGTTGGGTAGGATAAGCAGTACGTCGAGCGTCGTATGGAAAAAACTGCGGTGAAGACGTTGTCAATGGTGGAAAGGTAGTGTCAACCTTAACATTTGAGTTCATTGCATTGCTCTTGTTTGACTTGTAACTTTGTGCAAATTGCTTTCTGCTTAGTACACGACTATTTGGTCTACAAGTTTTTGTTGCGATTTGTTTTTTTTTTTTAATAGTTTTTGCTCACTTTCCTCGCATTATTATTATTATTATTTATTGTCCATGTTGTTATTATTATTATTCTCTTGCATATTACCGCTTGTTCTAATAGGATTGCTAACATGATCAAACACATGCACGTGAACCTTATATCTTACTAGAAACTTGTTCGGGCTTACACACGTTGACCTATATCAAGTCTTAATGTATACAGGGTAACTTAGACGGGAGGATAAAGGGGGGATGAAAAAACGAGAAAGAATGAGAAAGAATGAGAAAAAATGAGAAAAAATAAGAAGAATGAGAAAGAACAAAGGTGATGAAGGAGGTGAAGAGACAACATAACAAGGAAAACAAGCTTCGAGATGCTAAGAGCGATTAACTGCCGATGTGGTGTTCTCATAACATGAAAAATCCAAACATTTCTCTGACATAATTCGAGTGACTTTAATTCGGTTTCAAGTGCGGTCGTTTAAAGTATTCGCAACCCTTAGGCTGCGGTATAGTGGGCTTCTGCGTCTGTGTCAAGGTGTCACATTTTTGGCGGCGGGCGACCAGGACGCAAAGTGGGCTCTTAGTGGGCGAAAAAAATTGGGGGACCGGTCCTTGCCAAAATTGCGGACTACCTACAACTAGCTCTGGTAGAACCGGGACTTTTGGAAAAACGAAGGACTGGTCCTCGGGTGGAAGTGAACCCCAAAAAGAAGTGGGGGCCATTGGACCGGTCCTCTGGTAGAAGCGGACCCCAAAAAGAAGTGAGGGTATGTGAACTGCAAAAGGGCCCTCAGGCCCAGGCGTTGAGCCCCGTCTTCTAAAAACAGGGAGGTCAGGCACAACGAAACAGGCGTTTTGCAAGAGGCAACTTTGGTGATTTT